CATTTAATACACCTAATCTACCAAACATCATAGCTTAACCTAGCCTACCTTAAACATGTTCAGAACACACACATTAGCCTACTGTTGGGCAAAATAATCTAACACAAACCCTATTTTATAATAATGTCTCATGCAATTTACTGAATACTATATATGACATTAAACTTGTGACAGTTTTGCACCATAGTAAAGTTGAAACATCCTAACTCAAACCATTCTAAGTCAGGGACCGTCTGTGTATTATATGTGAAGAGATGTTGTCAGTTGGTCATCTCAAGAGGTAGGAATAATCCATATTTCTAACAACAATGTACACAAGTACCTTTTTCCTAGCATCTCTGACAGAAATGGGTGATTTTGATTTTTAAAATATCTTTATTGAGATCCAATCACATACCATAAAATTTACCCTCTTAAAATGTATAATTCAATGGTCTTAGAATATTCACAGAGTCATGCAATGATCACCACCAAGTTTAGGACATTTTCATCACTCCAAAAAAGAAACCCCGTATCATTAGTCAGTCCCCATCACCTCACCATGTCTCAGACCTAGGCACACATTTATCTGTTTTCTAGATTTGGCTATTCTTGACATTTTATATAAATGGAACCATATAATATGTTTTCTTGTGTGTGACTGGCTTCTTTCATTTAACATATGTTTTCAAGTTTCACTCACGTTTTAGCATGTATCTGTACTTCCTTTCCTTTTATTGCTGAATAATACTCTACTGTATAGATATGCTATATATGATTTATCTATTTATCAGTTGAACATTTGTGTTATTTCTACTTTTTGGCTATTAAAAATAATGCTGCAATGAATATCTATATAAGTTTTTGTGTAGCTGCATGATTTTATTTCTTTTGGGTATATAACTAGGTTGGAATATTGGGTCATATGGTAACTCTGTGTTTAACCTTTTGAGGAAATGTCAAACTGTTTATCAAAGTATTGTTTTAATTTTGCCAGTTTGATGAGCACTAAATAATTTCACTGAATTTGTAATGTGTACTTCCTCATTGAGTTTGAAGTTCCCTATTCTCATTCACTGGCCATGTCATTTATTTCTAAATAGATTTTCATCAATTTTTTAAATCTTTTTTCTACTGAGTTTTGCTTGCCTTTTATAAACATCCAAGAGTCCTTTGAATATTACAGATATTAAGGAATTTTCTTTTGTCTTCTTTGTAAACATATTTGTCTTGATTGTAACATTTGTCTTTTAACTTTGTGGAACCTGTGTCATATAAAATATTCCATTTTTGTGGAGCTAAATATATCTTCAGAGTTTCAGGGTTCATTAAGAAGTTCTTCTCTACTTCCAGATTATACAAGCGGTTGCCTATATGTTCTTATAAGATTTTTAATTTTTATTTTACATTGTCTTTATGAAAAAAATTTACATTGCATATAGTATGAAATAGAGGCTTACCTGCTTTTCTACTGAAATAAAAATATATTTATCATATATTAAATTATCAAATATAATAAAAAAATTTTCTGGATTCTCTAGGATTCTGGTGTGTTTCAAGCCACAGGTCAGGACTACTTGTTGCTTACAACATCAGTTTAGTAGGCTTTAGCATTTAAAAAAATATAAAATAGAATACGAAAATAGAGTATATCATACGTAATAAGGATACGTGTGTGATAAAACCTTTTATTTCTTTTAACATACACAAACATACACATCAAAGGTCATTATGCATATAAAATATTTCTTATCATGAATTAGAATCCATAAAGTTTGAAATTCACTCCTCCATGTGTTCCACTGATCCTCTTGTCTATTCCTTTGTCCATATATTCATCTGATTACAGATGCTTTAGGCTAATATTCTGATATCCAGTAAAAGAAGTGCCTCTCTTACATACTGTCTTTGGTTATTCTTGGACATTTGTTCTTCCACATAAATCATGTGGTCATTTTTTCCTAACATTAAAAAAGAAACACTTGTTTCTATTCTAATTAGAATTGCTAAATTGGCAGAATTTACACTTACACTTTCATCATATTGTTTATTTGGTATGTCTTTCTGTTTCTGAAACAGTACATTTCTATGATTCTTATTATACAGGTCTATGGTTTACTTGTTAAATCTAATTGTAATTATTTTATAGTTCTCTTCACTGCTGTGACAGAAAAATTTTCCCATTTTCATTTCTGTGTGTTTACTGCAAATACAGAGAAGCTATCAATTTTATTTAAGAAGCCAATTTTATTTGGCTATCTCATCACATTCTCTTATTAATTTTATTGTTCATAACTTGAGTCTCCCGGGTTTCCTAGGTATACAATCATATTTTCGAGGATGGCTAGAAAAATGGTAAATAATTTGACAGTATAAAATGGTAGTAGTGAGAATCCTATCTCCTGATTGTAAAAAGCAGTTTAAATATCACACACAAGAAATGAATTACTCAAATGACTGATACTCATTCCTCTCTCTTCTATTTCTAGTTTCCCCTTCTGTTTCAGCCTCTGTCCCTGCTTTGAAAGCTTCCATCTCTCCTGCAGCTTCTAAGTTGTGCTACTAGTGAGAGTCCTTGGCTTCTGGTGCCTGGGTAGTAGGGAAAAGAGGTGGTCCTGGCTTTCAGGGTACCATTAAAAATATGTTATCTATCCATTTAGAGACATGTATATGTAGTACAAGGCAAGATGCTAAAAGAAATATCAAGAAACTGAGACTGTCCAGAAAGATGATAAAATAGGATATATAAGACATAAAAATAAGTAATTCTATTTTAAATAGAAATGACATGTGCTCCAAAACAGGTATAGGTAAAGTATAAGATTATTTCTCATGAAAATAGTTACGGGGGAGATTATGCACTACAATACTGCTATAACTCAGATATAGCTCAAAAAGCTTTTGTGAAACTAGCTGAACCTAATTATCACATGTATTACTATTCTATTAGGAAAAAAGTTGCAAGCATTCATTCATTTATCGAGACGGTCCCACTCTGTCACCCAGACTGGAGTGCAGTGCCACAATCTCAGCTCACTGCAGCTTCAATCTGGATCCCAGGCCCAGGAGATTTTCCCACCTAAGCCTCCCAAGTAGGTGAGACTACAGGCACGCACCACCAAGCCCGGCTAATTTTCTGTATTTCTTGTAGACATACGGTTTTGTTATGTCACCCAGGCTGGTCTTGAACTCCTGGGCTCAAGTGATCCACCCACCCTGGCCTTCCAAGGGGCTGGGATTATAGGCATGAGCTACCATGTGCCCAGCGAAAATTTGCTTTTAAATAATGGACTTATCAGTTAATTTCTGACAACATAACTCATACGTTTCTAAAAGACCAGTTGGACCGGCTAATAGTAACAGTACTTAAGTTGTAGTACTGTCAAAAAAGGGAAATAACAAAAGGAATAAATGAAGAGTCTGCTATTAACAATGACCTGTCCTGACTACTCTTTTACTGAGAACAGGATTCATTTTATTCAATAAAAATAAAATACATAAATTCCTATCATGTAAAATTTCTTAAAGATAGGTATTAAGTAAAATCAAGTGCTACTGAACTTTAAGATAATGTTTGTAATTCAGTGTTAAAATTAACACAGTCTCTTGTACTGCCAAAAAAATCACAATCTAAAATATTCACCAGGGTCAAAAATTCTTTATCTTGGAATTCACACAGTGTATAATAGCAAAATGCAGCTGTTACATAAACCAGGTAGTTTATTGGTTCATTCATGCTATAAAAATATTACTGACATTTCATCTGGTCAACCATCTTAAAGGTTAATTCTTGTTTCCTCTTTCAGATTTTATTCTAGGTGAACTGTTCTGGGCAGATTCTATTTACCTATTCTGAGCAAACCACAAACTGTTTCATTGTTCACTCTTACTGTTAAGAACATATTGACTTGCTGCCTGCTCTGCTGTTTAATTCATTTATGCTGAGAGTCAGGCATGAAGACAGAATTTTAAATGTGACATTTGCAGACTGTTAGGTCATTTAAGCTCTGACAACACTAGGGAATTCCTGACATATAAACTGGATCTGATTACCAAGCACAGACGAGCTTCCCAAAGGAGCAAATTTCTGATCATTTTTTGTAATTTCTCACAGAATTGCAATACTAAATTTTAATGTCAATGAAAAATATATATAGCCAACATTTTAAAGTAAAAGCCTCTGTTTGTTTCAATAAAGTTCAAACTGGCACTTCTAATCAATACATATCAGCTAAATAAAAATTATTTTGACAGAAAAAGGCATATGGAAAAACTCACAATAACAATCAACATTCATAACAATTCTGAGAAAGTCTGCCATTTAAGGGCTTTTAATATTTACTATAATATGTAAAGTTCTGAAAATTCTGCTAGGTCTAAAGGCTATAACTCTAGTCAACAGACCATTTAAAATTATTACATTCTGGCCCAGCAGGGCAGAGGTTATATACTGTCAAATTATAGTACAAAGTCTAAGCTTACATACTTAAAACACTGCCTTCTCAACAATTATAGTTATGTAGAAAGGATGATGAAATCATTATAATTGGAAATGAACAAATTGCCCACATGACATGCAGAATTACACTTCACAAGGGTTGACAATGGGGCGGGGTAAAGGATGTAGGGCAAGACTGTTTTCTCTTTTTAGTGACTCCAAAAAATTACACTCAATGATATTTTTGCAGCTCTTTTTCCTTGTCACTAAGTACTAGACACAATGGGTCAAAATGAAAGTTTTCTGAAATTAAATTTCGTAGTCAAATAATGCACAAAAGATAATCCTTATTTTATCCTATATTTTATGTAAGTAAGAATTCTGGTGTTAAACAGCAAGTAGCCTTTTAATATTGTGCTTCGAATGGGACTTTCAACTGTAATAGGGGTAGTCTAAATAGGGATAGACAGCCCAGAATGCCTTTCAGCTACAACACATTGATTCTGAAAACCCTAACAAAAGCAATTACTTTTCAGAGATTAAAAATCTTGTTTCTTTCAAAAGAATAAAATGAAACGCAAACCTGGTGTATTATCTGAGCTACAGGAAGTTGTTCAGCATATTTCAGAGGTTCCATTAGTTCCTCATCCATCTGGTCTTCCTTATAGCTGGAAAAAGAGAATTTAAAAACACAAAGCTAAGGCAAATACTATTTTGAAATATGGCAAATATTTAAATATGTCAAATATGAAATATAGTAAAATGCATATATTTAAGTTTTTGAAATAATCGGTATTTATCAACAATCTTTGAAACGCTACCATTGAAAAATTTTAAATGACTATAAAGGTATTCAGACTACGTTAAGTAACTATGCAATAAAATTAGCTAACATCACTTAATGTTCTCAGATCCTGTCATTTTCTGAGACAAAAATATTTCAGTACACTCTGTTCAAAAGAGGGTGTTTCTTTCATAGCCCTTAAAGGTATTCAAAACCTGGCTCCAACCAAACTCAAGCCTCATCTCCAGCAACCCTTTCTCTACTTAACAGTCTACTGTTTTAGTTATATTTTACTGGCCAAATCCCACTGGGCCTTGCACCTCCAGAAGAGAGACCTTAGGAGAAACCAATCCTGCTGACATCATCTAGCCTCCAGACTGTGAGGAAATACATTTATGTTGTTTAAGCCATCCAGTCTCTGGTACTTTGGTATGGCAACCCTAGCAAACTAATACCTATTAGCATTAGGTATTTTTACCTCAATTAAAAAATAAACTAAAGTAAATACTCATTGACCAAAAGAAAACACACACACACACACACACACACACACACACACACACAACTTGCTTTAAAGCATTTCACAGTGTATCTTTTAAAAGTTTATTCACTTTATGTATAAAAACACATACAGGCTGGGTGTGGTGGCTAACAGCTGTAATCCCAACACTTTGGGAGGCCGAGGGGGGTGGATCACTTGAGGTCAAGAGTTTAAGACCAGCCTGGCCAACATGGTGAAACCTCATCTCTACTAAAAATACAAAAATTAGCCAGGCCCTGTAGTCCCAGCTGCTTGGGAGGCTGAGGCAGGAGAACTGCTTGAACCCGGGAGATGGAGGTTGCAGTGAGCCGAGATCACGCCACTACACTCCAGCCTGGGAGACAGAGCAAGAGTCTGTCTCAAAAAACAAACCAACAAAAAAACCCCACAAAACACGCAAACACACACATACACGCACACAGCAACAAAAGAAAAAACAGACAAACTCTATAGACATCATCAAATTTTAAGACTTTTTTGTTTCAAAGGACACAATTAAGAATGTAAAAACAGTCTACAGAATGGGAGAAACTCTTTGCAAATCATATAACCAAAAAGGGACTTATATTAATAAGAATACATAAATACAACTCAAGAATAAAAAAGCGAACAACTCAGTATTTTTCCTTCCTTATTGAGGACATTCTTAAGTGCAAATGATGTATTTTTGTTTGTTTCTTTGCTACTGTGGTCAGCAGTGGGAAAAATACAGTGACCACTTATGCACTTTGGTTCCATGCCTTGATTCCTGTTAAGGCACCAGCAGTTTTAATAAATATCTTCTGAAAAAATAGAAATTAAATCACCGACATTAATTCTAAGAGTATAAAAGAAATATGACAAAGTCACTCTTCATTGGTTATTCCAAAAATCTAAAATAACAATGTATAAGATGAAATACATTTTTTTTCCTCACAAAATGTCTCTTAGTCAATATAAAAGATATTCTTTAGGTATACAAAAATATTTGAAATCTGGCAATTTGTTTTGAATAACTTTTTATAATGCCATGTAGCTGTTATGAAAAATTCTAAACACATTTCTGTATTTTTTATATTATTTTTGCAGGATCATTTAAAAGTGAGCTGCAGATACCATGACAGTTCACATCTAAATCTTTCAGCAAAATATTTATCAACCAAGGATATGTCTGAAATGTTTCTTAATAACTGCAGCACTTTTTCCAAATGCAATTCACAAGTAATCTTCAGTATCACTATGGATATATGAGTATTTTACTTATCCAATGTTTCATAATCAATTAAAATGATTACTCATTTCTATAATTTCTTGAAAACATATTTCCACTGCTTTCTTGCTTTATTTTGATATCAAGAAGTGTGATGCTAAGTTGGTTCGATGTTAATTATTTTCATTTTTAATTATTTTTAATTTTTAAATTACTAATTTTTTGGCTTAGAAGCTCAGACGGCCTTTATTTTCCCTTTTGTTTTAAGGTCTAATACTATAATATATCTTAAAAGTTGATTGTTATAGATCAAGTTTCCCAGGTACACGGGAAACAGGAGTCCTTTCAATATGGAAATTCAGATCTCATTTTATTTCAAAAAATGTTTTATTATAACTTTAAATATCATATCTGTTAATTTTCCACTTATTTCCTAGTTCAAGGTGTTGAACTAAATATATGGAAAATTCTCTCTTTCTGATCATTTTCATTTCTCTTATTTCAGTTTCATTTTCTTGGCTCTTTCTATTCTTTATGTCTTTTATTGAACTTCTGGAATATCTATCTTCCCTTGTCTACCTTGTAATTTACTTTTCATTTCTGAGATGATTTTTTTCTTTTTTCACCATTTACTTTCCTGAGTTCAGTCAACTGTTGTTTCACATATCTTTCTGTTTGTCCATTTCAATTGTGAGTTTTTGAATGCCTGATTCATGGTATCCTTTCATAATGCAATTGCTTGTTTAATACAGGTTATTCATGTTCAGATGTTTCATTTCAGTTTTCCTGTTTTGTAATTTTTCTTTGATTTCTTTCCTTCCTTTTTATTTGTGCTTTCATTCTGTGTGTGTGTGTCATTTACTAAGAAGGTCTGATTTTAATTTTGTTTTATACTTATTGTAACTTTGTAAAGGTGCTGGCTTCTTTTTCTGTTGAGGATTATTTGTATTGGCTTTTTCAGAATCAGCAGTAACAAGTTATCCTGCCATGGAGGGTGAAGGGAGGTAAGCTGACTTACTAGGTTTCTCAGTTCAAGAGCACCCTCTTCTGTGGCTTCACTGAAGTGTAGTTGCTTTAATAAGTGGCGCTTTTTGTGGTGGGAGGGGCAGGATTTGTCTTAAAAAAAAATTATCTTGTTCCCATAGTGCCCTTATCTTCAGCTGCTTTCTTTCCTTTCACCACCATGACTCCAAGGGACACCGCTGTCCCACTCTGTCCTTTGCAAGTAGTCTTCCATTATCCCAGAATTCATGCTTTCCCAAGATTGTCACCTAAGGTCATTCATACATTCTAAGCCCCATCTTGTAAATCATTATTAGTCAGGTCTCTGATAAACCATATATAATTCAGATAGAGAAAACTACAAATATTAATTTCAATTTACATGTGGCAGCCATCCTAAAGGAACCTGGAACTTTTCTCCTGTGAAATGGTAAAGTTCTCTTTTCTTAAAGTCATCCAAGTGTTCCTTTTACTTAACATTTTAAGTCATTTCAGAAGCCCCCCTAAAAGAATGTTTTTTCCATGATCTCTTTCCAAGATCCTTTACTAAGAAAATCTATTTAAATAACTTAATAAGGGAGTAATTTCTACATGGAAAAAGCTGTATATTCCTTATTTTGTTTTACTATTTTTTAAAATAGAGTTTTTGTAGAAGATAACACAAAGTATTTACTTACTTTATAAAAGGATTTCGACTTCAATAGAGTCATACTACCATCTCAAATGAAAAGGCAATTAAAATACTGTCCAAATCCTCTGCATAAATAAAATTCTCCTGGCAAATTATGAAGCCTATGAAGTTAGTCTTTACAATCCCCTGTGCTTTCTAGTGTTTTCTATATCCTTTTTCTCTTTCATATCCAGTGCCCAAAAAATATTTCTCTTCTGTGCTATTCAAGCACCCTAAAATAACACTGTAAAATTATTTACTGTGTCCATACAGAAGGTTATCTCTAACTCAGAAAGAGTAAAGTTTATATTCTAGAGTGTCACACTGAGATCAGACAATTAATGTATAAAATTACATACAGCCAGGTATGATGGCATGTTCCTATAGTCCCAGGTACGTGGGAGATTGAGGAGGAAGGATCACTTGAGCCTAGGAATTAGAGACCAGCCCGGGTTATATAGTGAGACCCTATCACAAATAAATAAATAAACATAAAATTACATAGTTTATTTCAGGCTGAAGGCCAAAGCATCTTTCCAAACACTGGAAATAAAGCCAACAAACTGAACAAGAAAGCAGAGACACTGTGCTATGCTAGATACAAACTAAAAATTAAGAGTATCAATAATAATTAAAGACACATCATCTAGAGTAATCCAAAATCATTAGGAAGAAATTCTCTACACATACCAAAAACAGGAAGGTAGACAAATAGTTAGTATAACCTGTTTTGAAAATATGGCTCAAAGAAGCACTTGAAATTAAAAGGAAATAATAGAGAAATCAAATTAATTTCTTCCTAGAATCTTTGGAAAAAAGGATTGAAAAATTCACACTCCTAAACTGCATTTTTAAATGTTCAAATAGTCATATAATAGATAATGCATATTGTACAAGATATAATTGACAAACCTGAAAATTTAAAGACACTCCAAGCGAAGAAAACTGAAGTTTACTGGTCAATGCAGACAAACACAAAATGCTACTACAAATTCAGACAGGTCCCAAGAGTCACTAAAGCTTATTTTTGTGAAAACAGGCTATACAGCAATGATAAAACAATCTAATACATTACTTCCCTCGAAATGAGATCCCCTCCAAACTCCCTGCATCACTATTTTTCTAATTATCAAACTAAAAACTTGTGAGAGAAGATATGAAAATAGAACTTCAGTTAAAAGCTACTTTAAAGAAGCACAAGAAAGACGGTAAGCCAGGGAAAAAAGACTTAATATGAGGCAGAGAACAGCAAGTTAAGTCCAAAGAGAACTAAGGTTACACTAATTTATGGCCCAACTGTTGAAATGCATCTTATTTACTGTCAGTTTCCAATGTAGTATAAAAATGCACACACTAGTTAAATAAGAAGACCTGTCAAGCAACTCAGTAAAGCTAATATAATAAAATCCCAGAAAAGCAAACTCTTGTTCTCATTTGAGAGACTTTAAAAAGTAACTTCCTGTTTGGTAAAAATTATAGGCA